TTCCAAAAATAGCACCATCCCTACGTCGTTAGTGAGAGCTGCTGTAGCAAAAAATTACAAAATAAAGAAATAATTTTCAAAACTAATACTCTGGATAGTCACAATATCCACTTTCTACCGCTGGTCCTTTAGGTGTCACTGAAGGGGGAACATCAATTCGTTCCCAGGTACCAAGATGTACAGCACTACGGTGTAGCAAGTCCCCGTATTGTAAAGGTAAAAGATATGTGGTATATAGTGAAAACGCCGTAAAAGCAACAATAACAAATAATTCAGCAACCCACACTGCGTCCACGTACATTTTTTGTGGTATTCCGGATGACGACTTTTCCTAAACTCTTCTATACTCACTTAATTTCTTAAACAGCAAATTAGATCAAGTGCATAATGATTCCAATACCGGATAAATTAAGACAAATACTAAACTTAACTTTTATTCCTATGCAATTAAGGACTTGTTACATTTGGCTGGTTATACTTTGTTTAAGGGTTGTTTGTTTATACAAGTAGGGGTTTTTTATTCATAGTTTTGGCGGGCAACAGGATTCTCGTGGTTATAGTGGTTTAGGAAAGGGGATATGCAATACCAAAATACAAAAAAATCATAACAAAAAGCAACCCAAAAGTTTGAACCAAAAAATTTGCAACTCTTTATACAAAACTATACTTAAATTCTAAACCCCTAATATCACAATCATCCACACCAAAAACAATTAATTCCCCAAAACTTCTATTAACTCTCTAAAAAACATCACAAAAGTAAACAGATATCAAAGTTAACACCTTTTCAACACCAACTAAGCTATTTTTTAATTCATAAAACAAGAAAACTGCACAGTTTGAGCTAAAAACTTTTATAATAAATAAATAAAAACTCCCCACAAAATAAAATAAAAACAACGTAATCTCACTAAATAAATTCAGTATAAGTCCCAAGAATAGCCAATTGAAACTCTTCGTAGAACTAAAAACTAAAACTGTAAGAAAATCTTTAGTTACAAAAAATTAAAGATAAGCCAAACATAACCTAAAAAAACAACATAAACGAAAACATAACTAGCCAAAACAATGAGAAAACCTATATAAAGTAACTAAAGTAACTTCTGCCCGGTTAATAACCAAAATATCATGCAAAACAGTCAAAAATCCAGTAATAACAACAGCAGCTTGGTGGTGAGAGATATTTAGACACATATATTTGGAGTAAGATTAAAATAAAATATAAAAATGTAATTCTGGAGAGAGTGAGAATTTAAAGAGACACTGGGTAGTAAATGTACGAAGATGGCTGCTAATTATTTTTTAGTTATTTTATTACTTGTTATGGTTTTAATATATATGGCTTTTATGTCTGATTTTAATTGGTTTACGCTAAAGTCTTTTGAAGTGGTCTTCGAAGAAGTTAAGGATGATGGTATTGCGAACACCCGGCTAAGAAAAACTAAACAAACAAAATATGAGTATCACA